CTGACGCGTGCCCAGAACGTCCACCCCCATCAACGCCGCCTAAGGCGAAGTCAGCTGGATCGCCATCTCCGGCGACCTGCCGCGGCATGGGAAGCCCGGCCTGGCTCTGTCCAAGTGCTTCCAGCCTCGGAGGCTCGACAGAAACCCGGCGGGATGAAGGGCCCCTTTCGGGAGAAGTCGGGGCGCCCTGCAACTCGCGCGGCATGCGTCTTCAGCGCAGCAGCTCTGAACCGATGCTCCGCGCGTAGTCGGCGTAGCGCACCGGGCCCAAGTCGACTTCCAGCGGGCTGCTGCAAGCCGGCGAGATACCTGGTCGCCCCTGGTCGCGCTGGCAAAGGCCGCCCCCCTTCGCGGAGTCCGCTCGCGCCAACGCTGGCTGCGGGGCGGCGCTGCGCCGCCGGACAGGGGCAGCCGGCCGCGCGATCGCGGCCCCCAGAGCGGGCGTCGCGCGGCGAGCGGGCTTCGAGCCCGCGGCGACGGAGACAGCCGTCTCGCGGCGACGGCGCAGCAGCAGAGGGCGCGAGGCGCAGCGGCCCCGCGATATAGCCTGGGCGGCGCCCAAAGCCCCCCCCAAACTTCAGACGCCTAAGTCCGAAGTAGCATTGGAGACGCGCCCCCTCCGCGACGGCGATGGCTTACTTGGCGCGACCTGTTTCCGATTGGGGTCGATGGGGGCGCCCTCGAGGACCTCGCGAAAGTCGGGCTCGCGCACCCGAGGGGTCCGCGACGAGGTCCCAGCTGCTGGGCCCCGGGGCCTTGACCGAGTCATCGAAATCGGAGAAGACGCTGCGCGGGCCACTCGCGGGGTCGCCTGCTCGCCTCAAGACGCCCAGCGATGACCGGCGCGCCGAGGCAGCCGAAAGCATCATAATCTCCGCCTCTCGTTGCCTGAACCGACGCTCTGGATGAGATCTGGCGGCGAACATTGTTCAGGGGCTATCATGCCCGACAAGGAAGCATCGTAGATGGTGAACTCGGGGCCCCACTGTAGTCTCAAGGCGGCCGGCGCGAAGGGAAGCAAAGAGCGGCGCGGCGCGACTTCGCGCGCCGCCAAGGGCCAGGGGCGGGCCCGCGCGCGGTCTCCTAAGACCCCGCTGCAACTCCCTTCTGAGCATAAGACGACCGAGAAAATGACCGGCGCATCCCTCCACCTCCCTCCCAGTCTGGTGCGACGCGCGCGCCAGAATGGCGCCTGTCTCGGGCGCCCCGCCCGCATGGGGCGGGAGAAGACGCGGCCGCCGGGGCCGTGAAGCAGCTCGCGGAATTCTCGTCGACGGCGTACACGCTACCGCGCCAGGGCAGGAGGCAGGGGGCCTCGTCGTCGACCCGCGGGAAGGGAGCTCTGCTGGCCAGGGCCCGAAAGACCCCGAGACCCGAGGCGGAGAGGCTGATGCGCGCGTTTGAACCAGAGAGCCCAGGACAACGCCATGGGAATAACGCGGAGGAGTGGCCAGACACAGCCCCGTGAAAGGCCGTCGGGGGAGCCCGCCGCTTCCGCGCCGGGCTGCGACAACGAGGCCCGGGAGATTGGCGGCAGCGAGCGCAAGAACAAGAAGAGGAGGAAGAGGAAGAGGAAACATACTACTACTACTACTACTACTACTACTACTACTACTACTACTACTACTACTACTACTACTACTACTACTACTACTACTACTACTACTACTACTACTACTACTACTACTACTAATTAATAATACTAAGAAGAAGAAATAGAAGGACGAGAAGATGAGGCCCAACGCGTCTTCAGCCCCAGCGTAGTCTTCAGCCCCTCACGCCCGCTCGGGCGCAGCATAAGTTGGAACGTCACGCGTTATCCTCGCCGCGGAAATCGGGCAGGCGCAGCCGACCACGGGCGGCCCGCGTGCCCATGAACAGGGGCGGAGGGACGAGCGTTCCAATCAACTTGTTTCATACCGATCTTCTTGGAATGACCAGGTCCTTGGAGCGGCAGGTGAATCCCAGCGTTCTGGCCTCCGCCAGGTCCGCGATAAACTGGCGGCAGGCTGGCGGGCCATTCTTCAAAACCTCGTCCATGTACGGGGTGGCGAGCGGCTCGGGGTCCAGAGCTCTGGGCCACTCGCAAGGGGCCTCCATCATAATTTGTCTGTAATATGTCACGTCGTCCCTGCTGGTCTGTTCGAGCACCGACGCGACGGGAAGCGCGGCCGCGCCCGCTTCTGGGACGTCGACCAGGGAACCGCAGCACTTCACCGCTGGCCTCTGTGCCTCGTCCGCGGCACAAGGCAAACTACTGGCCAGGAGCTCTTTCGCGGCTCCACGGCGCCAGTCGGAGGTTGCGGATTCCGGGGCCGTCCGCACCTGGTTCCAGACTGCAGCGGCCGCGAGTCGCTAAGCCGCCGTTGTGGGCCCTCGCTGCTGACTGGGATGGCGAAGGCACGGAGCCCGGCAACGGCATCATTGGCGCAGTGTTCCGCGCCTCCGATGCGCCAACCTCCTACTCGTAGAGACTGAAGCTAACGCAGTAGTCGGTGGCATCGGCTGGATTTGCGGCAAGGGAAAGATGTCTCGCTGCGGGTCGGCTGCCGCTGACCAACTGTCGGCCTCTGCTTTATCGCGGAGCTCGTGGGTCGACGAGGCCCCACGCTTGGCCTGAAACTCGCCGCGAGGCGGTCAGCCCCCACGGCTTGACTCCATCGCGATCCTGTCGCGCAGCCAGCGGCGCTGTCACCTCGTCCTCCGCAATTTGGTACACGTCGCAACTTCTTTTCCTCCATCGCCTTCCGAATCTCCTTCAGGATCTCCGCCTTTTCCCGGGAAGAGGCCGTCGCGTGCTTCTGCGGCTCGGGCGCAATCGCAGCGCCCTGGCGGTGGGCGAGCCAGCCCACGGTTTCATCGGCGGCCGGGTAGTCGGGATTCGACGGCGACGCAGCGTGGACATCCTCCCTGACCTGGATGCGTCGGCACAGCAGCTCACCGCCCTGGACCTGGCGGGAACGATAGACCTCCTGCGCGCTCACGCCTGGCGATAACGTATGCAGGCGATGTGCCCCCGCGCTTGCGTCTTCGATGTTGCGTGTGATCTTGCTCCACCTTGCCGCGCCAGCCAATGGAAATCCAACTGCCAAGCCAAAAACGGTTCGATCGCGTCCAGCTCGGGGATCGCGAGGCTCGGCACCGACGGGCAGGTGATGCCGACCGCCGGCGCGCGACGCACGAGCGGCGGGCACGCCGAGGGAGGGCAGGAACAGCTCGCATCGGGCAGCCCCGCGAGACCGCGGGGCAGAGGGGGCCTGCCGAGAGAAAGGTATGGCCCAGCGGCGACAGCTCCAGCCCACGTCGCGCGGCGGCCTGGGAACGCGAATTCGAGGCTCATCCAGGAACTCCCTACCAGAACAAACTTGAGCGTAATATTGCGAAGGCGGCATTCGACGCGGCTCTGACCAGCGCCGCGCCAGCGCTAGACAGATGCACAGCCCCCCGAGGACAGTGAAGATCAGATCCACAAGTGGTGGACACGACAACAGAAACAACTCGGAAGCGAACCTCCCGAGCGGCAAGCGCATCCATATCCACGCCCTCGCGGTCTAGATTCCGGGGCGCGCCCCCGTCGATGCGACGTCGCAAGCGCGCGGCCCGCGGGGCGCATTCGCGAAAGAACGCCGCGCATCCACTGGGTCGTGGCCGAGGGGCCTAGCCACTGACGCCGAGGATGCAGACGCGTCTTCCGCCCGCGAGGATTAGCGCATGATCGTGGCCCGAGGCCTGCGCGCGGACAAGGGGTCCAGGGGGCGCGTTCAGAAGAAGAGGGGGGCGTGATGTATGAAATATTCCGTGGCCGGGGTCATGGCATTCGCCCCCCCACCCACCCACCCCTCATCCCCACCCCCCCGGACGCCGCCGACACCGCGGGGAGAGAAAACCCGGGCCAAACCTCGGGCGCAGCCGAAGCCCTCGGTGCGGAAGGCCTGCGGCACAGGAACAATGACTCGTTCGGGGCGATGCCCGCAAGAACCCAAAATGTTTTCCAGCGCCCGTTCCCGGGCAAGCGGGCGCGGCAGGGAATGGGGCGCGAAGGGCAAGAGCGAGGGGGGTCGAGGGAGGGGGGGGGGAGGAAGGAGGGGCAGGAGGGGGCGATTGCAGGACGACCAGCTGCCTCGCTTCACACCCCGCTGAAGAAAGGCGAGCGAACCGGGACGGAATCTGATCCCTGGGAGGCGTCTGACGCTGCTTCTGCCTCTCGAAGCTGCAAGGTTGCCTAATGTCGCGCCTCGCGCCCCGCGATGACTTTCGCGCCCTCGCGCTCTTGCGTGGCCCTGTAAATAGATTGCGACTCTGGGCTAGGTCCTCTTCCAGCGCAGTGCCTGAACGATAAGCCCAAGCGATTGCATATGAATTCAAGATGTACAAAACATACACACTCGTGTAACGCATGCATGCACATCGTGAAACATGAGAATCGGAACAAACAGATCCTGCATACATCAAACCTCTGCGCTCCTCCTAAGACGAGTCGGCATGACCTGCTGACGAGTCTTCCGGGCGAATTCGAACTCGCGCGACGATAACTCCTCAAGGCCGCCTGCGAGGGCCACTCCAGACAGTCCTGAAAGCAAAGCCCATGGCCTTGAGGTGTCTAGAAGCTGTTTCAAACGAAACGCACTTAGTTAGCAAGTCAGCCGCATTCACCCGAGCGCCTACTGGAAGTACCTTCCAGAGGCGATGCAGGACTTTCTCCTGGACCCACAGAAACTTAGTCATCGCATGCTTCTGCTTGTGCATGTGCAAAGGCTCTCGCCGCGGACGAACCCGAGGCAATCGAAACAGAAAGCTCATCCTTCACTTTGCTCACCACATGCACTTGAAGCGAGAATCCGAACAAACCCAAGATGGCCTTGGTCAAAAGGCCGATCGCTCCACCCTTCAAACTACCGTAGTGTTCTGCTTCTCCGCTACTTCGGGCCACTGCAAACTGTAATGCGGGTTGCGTATTTAAGGCGTGCTTGCCAAACATTGCAACCACACCGTTAGTACTCTTGCGGGCAATCGGACATCCAGCCCAGTCCAAGTCAACCGACATACTGAACTCCTTCGGCATTTGCTGAAGGAAGAATCGACAGACAAGGCACGGGCACTTCTTGAGATAGCGGCACAACTTCTTAAGAGCCGCCAGGTCCGAGACACTGTGGTGCAGCATTTTCCTCGTCAAACTCTTGGCCGCCTCGCCGATGTCTGGCCGATCTTGAGCCAGATAGGCCGCTCTCATCACGCCTGAGCGGTAGGCGCGGACGCCGGCAGGGTCCAAGATGGGGAGCTCCAGCTCCTTCAGGGCGTCCTCGACGCACTTCTTACTGGACGGAACATCGACTCCCTTGGCAGAGTCTTTATCCAAACCGTGGTCTCTCAAAAATGTTTCAACGTGTCGTTGGTCACTCTCGATCTCGATGCAGGCCCCAGGTCCTCGGACATACCTCAGGACTCTGTTAACGAAAACCACCTCATCTGAATGTTCTCCTCAGGCCCCAAAATACCCGAACACTCCACGTCGTACGTAAGTACCAACCTGGAACTCACATCCGCCAAAGTGATGCCATCGCCGACGACCATGAAACCGTCGCCGTGGACGAGGCCCCTCGCCTCGTCACGTGCCGAAAGTCGCCGTCTCGCATAAGGCTCAAATAATCACCTTGCCAAATGTGACTACCATCGCGCGCGCCGTGCATGCTCTCGTTCGACTTAGCTCCACGACCATCGGGGAGTGCGACGCACATGTCGCGCCGTGCCCCCCCACGCAGGCGCGCCAGAGAAACGCGCCAGAAACCAGCCTTGAGAGGTAAACCTCGCTTCGCAACTCTCTGCGTAATCGTCGAACTCAACAAGCGTCTGAAAGCCTCCAGGGGTGGTGTACTGCTGAGAAGCTCTACTGCTAGTAGCTTCTCGGGACATCGCTTCTGCTTGCCTGCGATTTCTCTTGCGACCATTTCGGCTGCGATAGCGCGGGCGACGACGTTCGCCCTTGCTTGTGTCCGCCCAGCGGGTCCCCAAGGGGAATCCTGCCTGTCAGCCTCCTACAGGTACCCAGCTCAACCTCAGTGAAAACATTCTGCTTTGTCATCCAGGAATGTTCTTCATCTAGCTTGTTCAGTAAGTTTAGTGTTTAGCCATCCGCCATTCACGTCGCCCCAATACTTCTCCTCCTCCTGTCCTGGCTCTCCTCCTGGAACGGGCCGAAAATGCTCTTCCTCAACTTCTGGAACCGGTCCTTCACCTGTGACTGCATTGATCTCTCCAGTCTCTCGAAGCTCGGAGGCGATGACCTCCAGGATGGCCCCCTCAGCTGCACGGGACACTCTCGAGCTAGGGATGCACGACCGCCCAACAGCGGGATATGATCACGCGAGGGGCCCGAGCACGCGCGAGCAAGCAAGCCGGCCAATGCTGCATTGTTGGTCAGCCAACCGGTAGGCTTGCGAACAGGACAATCGCTGCCATCTGACCTCTTGCCGAGCATGCCAAAGTAGCACATGTCGCTCAACTAAACATGATGGACCCACGAACCCGGAAAGGGATATAGACATGCGCAGCATGGTCACGTTTTCACGATACCCAACTGGGCGACATCTCACAAAACATCCCACGAGACACCCCGCGAAACATCCCACGAGACACCTCGCGAAACATTCCACGAGACACCTCGCGAAACTTTCCACGAGACACCCCGCGAAACATTCCACGAGACACCCCACGAAACATTCCACGAGACACCCCACGAAACATTCCACGAGACACCCCACGAAACATTCCACGGGGGTGCGACTGGGTGTGGTCGTGCTGGGGTGTGGTCGTGCTGGGGTGTGGTCGTGCTGGGGGGGTGGTCGTGCTGGGGGGTGGTCGTGCTGGGGGGGTGGTCGTGCTGGGAGGTGGTCGTGCTGGGGAGTGGTCGTGCTGGGGCGTGGTCGTGCTGGGGCGTGATCGTGCTGGGGAGTGGTCGTGCTGTGGTGAGGTCGTGCTGGAGTGTGGTCGTGCTGGGGTGTGGTCTTGCTGGGGTGGGGCCGTGCTGGGGTGGGGTCGTGCTGGGGTGGGGTCCTGCTGGGGTGTGGTCGTGCTGGGGTGTGGTCGTGCTGGGGTGGGGTCGTGCTGGGGTGGGGTCGTGCTGGGGTGTGGTCGTGCTAGGGAGTGGTCGTGCTGGGGTGTGGTCGTGCTGGGGGGTGGTCGTGCTGGGGGGTGGTCGTGCTGGGGGGGTGGTCGTGCTGGGGGGTGGTTGTGCTGGGGCGTGGTCGTGCGTGCTGGGGTGTGGTGAGGTCGGGATTTCAAAAACAAGCGTTTCGCTCGAGACATCCTCAAATTTTAATTCGCCGGCCTCAAAAACAAGCGTTTCGCTCGAGACATCCTCTAATTTTAATTCTCGGGCTCGTTATTTATCAGGGAAAAATTCGCCGGCCTCCTTCGACCTCGTTATTTATCAGGGAAAAAATTCGCCGGCAATTCGCCGGCCTCCTTCAAGCAGGCACCGGGGGACTAAGTTTACAAACTAAAAGAGAACCCTGGGCTTAAGCCCTTTCCGGGAAAAAACACCTGGCTGGCTGGCTAGCCACTGCGCCCACTCGTCTGCCCAGCTCGCAGCTGTCCAGGGGTGTTCTTGGAGAAACCAGCGGCCACGAGAAATCTGCTCTAAACAGGCATTCACCGAAAAGTGTAGGATTCCGACTCCCTCCTCCTCCAATATATCTCGCTCCTCTGGACTCCTGTACTTGCCCTCGCTAGGCTTCTTTAGGTTAGTGAGCGTTCTGCAATCTGGGGACGCGAGAAGCAGGTGGGGGATCCTGGTCCTCTAGGGTCTGCATATATCGACGCTGATAACGGTGATCTCTTAAATCGTAAGACTCCACATTGGGATCGGCAGTCTGCAAATCTGCGACAATGCCCCCGGCTGTAAACCAAACGCTCCTGCCAGCTCCGAATACAACCTGGATTGAGACGCTCCGAGAACGCGAGCGCCTCTTGGTCCAGGGGGATGTTGAACATGATGGATGATGCATCGGTGGCCATCGGCGCCTCCGCGCCTCCTGCCGCGGCCGGAGCTGCGGCTACCAAAACGGGTCGCATCTGGGCGTCTCCATATGCTGATCCCGCTACTGCTGCCTATGCTGGTGCTGGCGCTGCCAGTCCACCTGATCCGGCAGAGCCACCTGATCCTGCATCCTCCGGGGCCCCCTCGCGCGGCCTCCCCCTGCCTTCGGGCGCGGCAGGTAACTCCGAACGTGCTGCTTTCCGAACGGGGCCCTGCGACCCACACTCAAGCGATGCCTTAGCCGTCGCCTGATGCCGTGGAACTGGCATCTGGACTCTAGCTTCTGGTCGAGGTTCTGCTGGTGCTGCGGCGTCGGCCGCTCCTCCTCCTGCTGGCGCTGGGCGGTGTGCCTGAGCACCTGCTGGGTCTGCTGCCGCGGGGGCTGCCTCTCGCCTCGGCTTCGGCTCGAGCCAAGACTTGATCATGATATATATATATATATATATAATCCCCATGCGCTTCCCACTTCTCGAGAGCTCTCTTCCTGCGCTCGGTGGCGTGAGCCGCCGTCGCCTCGCCGCCTGACAAGATCATCTGCTCGCGCGCCAGACACGCGCGGCGGGCGCCAAACCAAACTCATTGATATTCTTCCGGGTCGCGTAGAAATCTCGGACATCATCAGGAGCTATCGGCGCCGCCGCAATAATCGGCGCAACTCCAGGCGCCGGTGCTCGAGGTGGCGGCACAACTGCGATCGCCTCCTCATGTCGCTCCAGCCCAATTCCAGGGCTCACCTCTCATCTTTAAGATATCATCCTGCCACGCCCAACGGGCAACTGGATCCAAGCGAGTCAGAGAGGTACCTCTTCGGGTACCCTGAGTAGTCATGATCAGAACCGTGGCACTCCTGCGGGCATGCCCGAGGTAGAAGCTTGCTACCAAGCATGGCTCCAGGTCTTCTTTCCTGAGCTCGGCCCGAATAGGTCGAACTCGACCTCGCTCTCCGAACGCAACAGTGGACTTTTCCCACTTGCATCCTGTGCGCCTCCCCTCACCGGTTCGGCCATCAGCGCCGACCCGGAATCGGTTGTTGACGCTAGCGGCTGCGCGCGGGGCCCATGAGATAAGTGGATGATTGAATGGTAACTTCCTTCCCCAAAGATTCCGGTTCCGTTCGCTGCGCGATGACTAACAGGGCTTTCCTGGAAGATGACCTCGCAACCTGGCAGAGCACCGCTAATGGCCTTCTTTAAAGCTAGGATAGGGGACTCTCCGTCTGACTTCATCCAAATACGGCGATCCCCACAAAACTCTACGACATCTTTTCCGAACCTGTCCGGGAACCCTCCAAAACCTTTGGCTGGCCCTGCGGTAGCTCCATGCACAGAAAGCGTCGAACAGAACATGATGAGAAGAGTTCTCTCGGTCAGACCCTCGACCCGACTCGACTCGGTCTCCGAAGGACTTAAGCACCCACAGTCCAAATTAACTCGTGGAAAGACAAGCTCTGAATTAATGGTTACACGATGATGCTGCTCACCAGTTGCCTTGCCGTCCACGCGCGCTTTGCACCTCTGACAAAAAACTGCATGGCCCGCGGCCTCATGGGCGCCCATCTTGGCCTGCGTCGGCGCCGAGGGTGAACGCGGCACCCGAGCCTTGGGGGCCCGACCCGCCTCCTGCAGACTCGGGAACTCGAACTCCTGCTCTGGCTGAGGGGCCGGGTTTGCGGCGGGCTCGCCTGCCGCTTGCCCACCGAGCCGGTCGATCCGCCTTCCTGCACTGGTGCCGGAGCCAGCGCCCCGATCGCCTTGCCGGAGCTGCCGGTGCGCTTCTCGGCGTCGCCGTCGACCTTCATGCACGCGTTGGAGACGCTTCGTTCTCGCCACAATCCAGCGCCAACATTCGGATGCCACTCTGCAAGTCGGTTCATGCATTGAATCAGCTGCCGTCCAGGCCCGCTCTTGACATCGTAAACGATGCCTCTCGATCCCTTCAAAACTCCCATACGATTCTTCAACGTAGTAGCTGCTGAAACCAATGATTTGGAAACTTGAGCACGCCTGCCGTGGACTCGAGCTGGGCGGTTGCACTCGTCCATGCCACGAACCTCACCAATGCCGCCGTCTGACATCAACTCTCCCGTCGCTGTGCGAAACTGGCAACCGGAGCCCAATCTTCAGGTGGAACCGTAGCTGCCGCACCTGTGCGTAAGTTAAGCTTGGCCCAGCCCCCAAGAGAGTAGGTGGCGTTCTTCGACCTCGATGCAGGACCACACTTCCTCAAACAACTCTTGCCACCACAAGCTCCACGAAAGTTGAGAGGGCACAGCCCCAGGACCATGGCCACTTTTGGTCCTGGTTGTCCTCGGTGCTGGTCGTCTCTCTCAGTGCCCAGTTGATTTGCTGGCTTGGGTCCCCACTTGCCACCTTTGCTTCCACCTTTGCTCTTCGACTTGACACCATTCGAGTCTGACTTGTCACCGTCAGTGCGCTTTGATTTCCAACAGTTCTCTGCTTTGTGGCCAGGAACGCTGCAATTCCAACGGACCGTACTTGCATTGACTGCGCCTTTGGACTTAGCCCTGCCACCACTATTGCCCTCCCTGCCTTTGCCTTTGCCACCTTTGCCGTCGCATCCCTTGCCTTTGCCTTTGCCGCCTTTGCCATCGCGGCCCATCGACCCGACGTCCGTGGCAATGGGATCGGCTCGCCTAGCTTTACTGGTCTGACCATATCGTTCGCGAATATTGGCTTCTGTCTCAGCCTCGATGCACAACAGGACCTCCCTTCTCAAAGCGTCGCAGTCCCTGGTGCGAGACTGGTTCAAAAGAAAATGTTGCTCGAATTCTTCTGGGAGTAAACTCTCTAAAGCTGCGGTCTTGATCTGGTCACTGATGGCCTCGCGTTTTCCTGCACCGCCCTTGCGACGGTCGCATTGAGAAACTTGATAGTCCCACCGTTCGAGAGGCTGCGCTCAATTGTCCAACGCACTGCAGCCTGGATTGGGAATCAAGCAAAGCACGTTGCGCTTTCGGGCTCCCGTCGCTGGATCACAACGCCTGATTATTTTTTCCCAAAACCTCATCCTTGTTGGGTGTAGTCATGACCAAATCGAAAGGTTCCTTCGGCGCGAGCTGCTGCAAGGCTGCGTATAGTTGAATGTTCTTGGGCTCGATGTCTGTGACCTGATCTGCATTTTTCCCCAAGCTTCATTAATGTCATTGTCCGTGATGGTCGTGGACTGCTCCGAAACCCACCCCAAGACTTCTCGAAAGTTATCATCGAACACCAAACGTACAAATGAATCGAACTTGGCCCGCCACTCTCGCCAACGACTGTCGTCGCCGTCGTAGTTTGCTGGTTTGCCGACGCCACGAATGTATACCAATCCAGAACTCTGATTCCCAGTCGCCATGTCCAGACGAAGGATCTCTACAAGGGCTGCAAGTTGTTGGTCACCTGCTGCGCCCTGTGCTGCTGCTGCTCCTCTCTGCTGGAGTTATCCCTGCAAACGTTGGATATCTGCTCCCAGCCGCTGTAGATCTTGCTGATGATTCTGCTGCTGCTGAGTGAATAGTTGCACCTGTCTGGTGAAATCCTCCACTGTTGATCTCGAAGTCCATATGCTGATTGCATATCTCACAAACCTTCTTCAGTTCGAGCAACAATTGCCCGAAGGATGACCACAGTCGGCGCTTGAATCCAATCCTCTTACAATAACATGCGAAGCGCCTGCACTGGCCGATCCTGCTCTCGTCCACTCCGTCTGACTCCGAGCTGCTACCGATAACGTTCCAGTCAACAGCAGAAGAGCGGCTGGTGGCAGAAGCTCCGCCTACCATGTAAATAGATTATGACTCTGGGATCGGTATTTTTCCAGCGCAGTGCCTAAACGATAAGCCCAAACGTTTACAAGTGAATTCAATATGTACAAAACATACACACTCGTGTAACGCATGCATGCAAATCGTGAAACGTGAGAATCGGATCAAACATATCCTGCATACATCAAATCTCTGCAAGCCATCTCAAAGAAGGGCGGCTCTCCAACCAAGACCGCAATGCGCGAAGCGCGGTCATCTCCGCGCTACTGGGGGTGATCCAGGTGCGATGGCCACAGGAGACCCTCACACCCCCACGATGCCCGGATCGATCACACGGGGCCTCCAGTGCCGCCGCCTCGGCAGCCTCGGCAGCTGCCGCCTCCCTCGTGGCGAGGGAGTGGTCCTCGGCCGACGCGGAAACAAAACATCGTAGACACAACATGCACACAAATTGACGTGCGAGGGGCAGCGCGCGGTCAGAAAGGGGAGCAGGCGCATGGGGGACGGTCTCACCCCATCTCGGTGAGGGTTTAACGACTTCTGTTGTCCCTCGACTTGCGATGGAGCTGCCACTATTCGTTCATGATGTTTCGGGAGATATCGGGTATCCTTGGATGTACATCGACCTGTATGGATCTACATGGATGTGCGAAAATCTGGCATCACGTTATCGAGCTTGGCCCCCGCAAGCCGATTGGAAAAGAGTCGTCAAACCCGTAGGGGTCATGGAGGCATCCCCCATACTGTATCAGCGCCGTCGGATGGGGGAAAATTGGGCTCCACGCCGAGCCGCATCGCCGATATATCGGCGATGCGGCGCGATCCGCCGACACCATCTACTTGGGACCACACTTGTGGCGTGAAACCAACGGATTCTGAGGGAAACGGGTCCTGGGCCCTGGGACCCTCCCCCTGGACTAGGTCTTCATCCCGAGCAAGTCTTTGACGGCCCCCGTGCCCGGTCCGGGCCCCTCAAGGCCGAAGATGGGGAAAACGAGCAAGACGCGTCTCCCCGAGGACCCCATGTGCATCATGGCGAACCTGCGGGAGTCCTGGGCCCCCCTGTCGCCTTGCCCTGCCTGTGCCAATCAGGCCCTCCGAGCGCGGCGCTCCGCGCGCCCCCTCCCGCAAGCGGCCCGTGGCCATGGCCATCGCCTGGCCACCGTCCCACCAGAGCGGCCACGGGCCGCGTCCGCCCCGCCGCCCGCCCCTCTCTCGGGAGAGGCGAAGCCCTGTTGGAGCTAGGGCAAAGGGGGCACCCTGGCTCCAACTGGACTTGCTTGAACTGGACCTGGCGTCGCCCAATCTCCCCCACTGCGCCCCCCCATCGCTCACCAGAGCCTCTGACGTGCTGAAGAAATCGGGACTGAAGTGCGTCGCCGCCTTCGGCCTCCAGGGGCCCTCGCCAGGTCCTCGGGCAGCCAAAACACGGCTCGGGATGAGAAGCTGGACCTGGAGAACGGGCCGAGGGCCCCCAACGCAGATCCAAACAATCCGTGCGGAGCTCCGAATGTTTACGTTAGCTCCTGGTTCAGCCCCTTTTTTTCATCGGCCACGCAGCGAATCCCACATGCCGCTTCCAGATGTTTTCTTCTTCGACCCTGGGGACCACGTCATCGGATCTCTCGGTCGCCCTCAGGCCATGCATCTGGACGGACGCGTCGGCAGATTCGAGGCTGCAACGTGGACAGCCGAGAGAAAAGTGGGACGGGCTCATACTTCGGCAAAACAGGGAAACAGGAGGGGGGATAAGGAGAGAAGACGGATGACTCAGGCCTGAATGATGTTCAGAGGTATTGTGCAATGATTGCACGCTTCAGATGTCCATATGTTTGCCAGCATGGACCTCGAACAGTGAGTGATTCCACTGTGGAAGGGTAAGATATGCGCTGAGTATTATGTGGTGTAGGCTTCTATCTTGAATAGAAAAGGTGCCAGGGCAAAGTGCGCGGCGCACCAGGCGCACAAGGGGTTCTGTGTAATAGGTCTATATGTCGTGCTTATTCTGCGCCTCGCTCATTGTCCTGCATAAGCACGCGCTCGCGTAGCCAAGGCCAAGTGCATTCACAAGAGCCCCGCACAAGGCACCCGTGGCCCCCCCCGCCTCCGCACAAGTCTCGCGTTGTGTGGTGCGAGCTATTTGCGGCAAGTTACGTGGTGCCTGGCCACGCCCGCCCACGGCCGCCCACCAAGCGAAACCTCGCCACGTCCGCCCATCGCACGGGGCGCCCGCGAGGCGCCCACGGCCGCCCACCAGGCGAAACCTCGCCAAACCCATCACATCTCTTCGGCACCTGGAACAAACCTCCCTAGTGCAAGCACTGTCAGGGGAATCAGCCGACCCCCGCCTGCAGGGGGTGAGACGGTGTGTGAAGTGATTGGCGGCAATACATCGCCGACAGATCGGCGACAGGCCCCCGGTAACGAAACCGGACATTCCTGGGCGGGGTGAGCTATCGTGTCCACTATCTGGAGATTGTCAAACACGCCCCTACTCTGGCTTGAGGATTGGTGGTCTGCGCACCTCCTGCGGGCTCGCAGTGACCACGCTGCAGCCATTCAACTGACTTGCGCCTCCCAGCCAGCGCGCGCGGATGGGCGACCTCAAATCCACTCGACGGAACTCAATACGACCGAAGCGACGAACTTCCAGCGAAACGACACAACTCATCAACTCAAAGCCAGAAATTGCAATGAAGACCGTTCACTCAATAGACGCAACGGGCGGGTTAGTACGTAAACACCGCGGGCGCTTGAGTAAACGCAGCGGGCGGCTTTGTAAACCGAAGAGGGCGAACTGGTGCGATACATCGTGCAAATCCACAAAAAGGTTTCCAAGTTACCTGAGTCGGCAAACCGAACGCCCGAATATGTGAAACAACCGCCTTGGTCCATGATCACGCAAACGTGCTTCGCCGCTGGAACGCTAATTGCTGCGATACTTGGCGCTGCGGCTGGGGCCCCTGGCAAGCTGTTTCGCGACGCTTGGGAGGCTTTGCAAGTTGGTTTAAGGGCTGCAGGTAGGCGATTCTGAGCCCCCAAGAAGTGCGCAAACCACACATCAATAAACCAGGGTACGGGGGGTTCTTGCGCCCTCGACTATCAGCGATCCATGGGCAATATTGGGGGTCGATCCATCTCCCCCTGAGCGTAAGTATCACTCCACTGTCGGTACTCCCTGATTTTCGGGCCTTGACTCGGCTCTCTGGCGGCCGTTCGCGATGACCTAAGCACCCCAGGAACGCTCTTGGCGAGAAGTAGCTGCTGAAATGCATCCCGAGGCTGGAACGCCTCCGAGAACCGAAGGAAACGTACAAAAACCTCGAAATCCGAACTTTAAAGAGCCGCGATCCCCCCTCATCCCCGCCTAACGTTGCCCCTGAGCCTACAATCAGACCAAAACGCTTCGCCACTGCTGGAACTATTTCCGTCCTCCATTTCGGACCTCCTCGCGGGAATGTTTCGGGGGGACTGTCTCGGGGGACGGGGGATTGACTTGCAATCGACGATGCATCGCCGATAGGCCCTCGATTGCGAAACAACACGCCCTCGGGCTGGACGAAGCACCCATGCCCCGATTGGCGATGAGTGGGCTATTGGGGGTCGCTGGCTACACCCGCGGGCCAGTCCCCCCCTGGCGGCTTCCCTTAGGAGGGAGATATCCTTGGAGGCGGTGGCTGGCGCCGCGATGTGGGCGGCCAGCTGCGGGACGGTAATGATGGGGATCCCTCGGCAGGGGCAAAGCTCATTCAGCACGGCGGGACGGGGTACTCGGATCGGATCGGGGCGCGCGCTGGACAGCCGCGTCGGCACGGTGTCGAGATCGAATCGGATCGGCTGCGCCAGGATGCAGCTGGGGGAGGATAAAAACAGTATCAATGGTACGTCGTTGTGAAGAAGCGATCTGCGTGCTGCTGTTGAAGACACACCAGGCCTTCGGGCAGACACGAAGGGGTAGCACGATGACAATCTCCCAACGGCGGCATACCATTTATACTTTCCTCCTTTCCGAACAACAGAGCCATACAAACATCAGGAGGAACAAAGGGACCCCTCGGCAGGGGCAGGCGGCTGCGGCGGGCAACGCGTTGGCGCATTCGGTGCAGGAGCGATGCGCCCGCAAACAACAATTGCAGATGTGCTTGTGACCTAGAGGTCACCTAGGAAGGGTTCAACGCAAGGCCATGCGGGCCCTGAAGTGACTAGCCGAATGTCCGCAGGTGGCATGGACCTTTAAAAAACGCTAGTCAGGAGCTCTTCAATGGGCTGGACACGACTCCTGGCTTTCCCCATAAGGGTGACAACGGGACGTCCTGAGACCTCCTCACGGCATGCTCAACAATGTCATTCCAGTTGTTCTTTTCTTCAGATCAAATCTTTCTTCGAACACGGGCCAACCTCTTGCCACGGAGTGGTGCTACCGTCTGAGCCCTGGCCACCTAGAAGAAGCACTCTCGCGCGAACGGGTTGTCACCACACCGCGAACCACGTTCACGCGCCGGCCACACTATTGCCTCACCATAGGAGCAATCGCACCAGCAACAGCAGTAGTAGCGGCAACCACCAGCATGACTAGCAGCATAAGCAGCAATTAGCAACCGCACGCAGCAGCACCGTCAGCGACATCACCGACAATGGAGTAGCAATAGCAACAGCAGAAACACAAGCATCAGCAACAGCAGCAGTAGCAGCAAAGTGGCAGCGACATCGGCGGCAGTATAAGCAGCACCAGCGATTGCACAAATACCAGCAGTAGGAGCAACATTAGCAACTGTAGCAGCAACGGCAAAAAACACCAATGCCAACAGCAGGCGGCACTAGGAGCATTGGTAGCAGCAGTAATTAGCAATTGTTGCAGCACTCGCAGTGGCAACGCATCAATTACAGCAGACATGTAAGCAACAATAACGGCATCCCTAAACAACCAACAACATGTATTCACCAGCCGCACTGGACAATCGGGATTATCGATCCGAGAGCACTACCAGAGCAAAAACAACAACGGGAAATCAACAACATGTTGCGCTGTTACACCTCAGTCACATGCATGCTGTTGCGCCCCACCCACATGAATGCTGTTGCCTCACGACCCTGCCCCATAAAATTCGAATCAAATGACCCCCATCAGGGAAGACCTCCTCAGGGGAGCCCCCCTTGGGTTTACTTCAACCACGCAAAAAAATGATGGCACCTAGTTTGGGGAGGTTCGCTTGTCAGCGAGCGCGAGCGCGAATAATGCTGACACCTCATGTCTTGGACAGCTGAACAATGTTGATAGCGTTGGCTAGCCATGTGCTGGATTGCGATCGGAATGAATGTTTTTTTGGTTCAAGGTGTTAGACTTGCGCGCAAGGCGGCGCGCGCATGCGCCCTTAAATGTATTGTTCGCAAGGGTTCTTAGCACAAGCGCTGCTTCGATCAAGCGCAGTTCTACCGCACATTCTGTGTCGAGACATCGCGGGGGCTTGCTGGGATGATATCGTCCGTTCGTTGGTGTCGTAGGCTGTGGCAGCCCATGGGCGCGTATACGGGCCGATCAACTAAGCAAAACTATTTGGCGCACTGCTTGGCGCAACCTGGAGGCGTCACTCACAGCAGCTTGAAGGCGGATGCTGTTTCTAGTTGCGCGAATTGCGTAAAGCAACACGCTTCAAAACCATTATGTTCGGGGCCTCCCGGTTCGCCGGACATACCTGCCGGTGGCGGGGAGGAGGGAGAAGCCGGGCTGGAACGTGGCTTCTCGCATGTCAGAACTGTCGGGTGTACGTAAGACACAACCCAGCAACATCACTTGTCTGCGTCGGACTTGCACACATGTTGCCTCGAAGCCCGCGCGCTGCAAGACATCGGTATTGTATACCTTGGGCAAGAACGACGGCTGTATCTTGAGGACGAGTCTCAGGCACTTGGCCTGGAAACCTTCGAGTCTACAAAGGTCCACCTTCGTGAAACACCCCGCCGGCAGTGAGTATAGCAACTTGGACTCGACCAGTGACTGAAATACCAACAAAAGACGCTTGACTGGCAAAAATGAGCTCTTTCATACTTGCCGGAGAGCGCGAAAGTCTGCAGCTGCCGCCTCGATCCAGCGGGCATCTACTGACAACGAAGAACCAAGGTAGACAATCTTGTCCTCGCTGGAATGGTACAACATGGAAAATTAACGATGCGGCAGAATCATACGTAAAGTGCTATATCCCAGGGGGAGCGCAAAATCCAGGCTCGGGTGCAAGCTACATGATGCAAACCCTCATCGCTTCACTATCGTTAGCCAGCGTCTGGCTGCAAGCCGAAATTGGCCCATAGACAGGCGGTGGGGGAAAACTCTCCCGAGGCTGTAGGGGCAACAGGATCATCATCAGTCGGTGCGTTGGCAGTAGTAAACCCAGCAGGAGCAGTCGAGTCAAGGTCGTAGGCAGAGTAGCCAGCAGCAGTTGCATCAGCAGCAGTGGCAACACTAAAAGCAGCAGCGGCAGTTGAAGCAGCATCAGCAACAACAGCGGAAGCAGTGGCAGATAATAGCCTCCTGGGCGGGTCTGGAAAGGTTGCCACACAGAGGACTGCGCTGGCGTGCTCGCAGAGCCTGCCAATGAGATTTTGATACACATGTCAACAACAACGGTATGCCCAGCGCATGTCGTGTGCAGAACACCTAATCGAGAGGCGGGTAATAGGTAGCCTTTCTTCACCTCTGACCAACGGGCCTAGAGATCTTGCATGATGTGCGTGCAAGTGACCTGTTTCTGGCTAGTCTACTCGCTCCAGCTTCTGCTGATATTTGACAAGCTTCTCGTCTTGGCGATGGATAGTACACGCTGTTGCAAGTGTACGTATCACGATCACGCGTCTCGAAACCGTATGCTTTCGGGACCGCGGCCTCCACACGCGGAGTGCCCACAGACCGCCTGCCTGGGCCTCGAGACTGAGCTGCGTGTACGCATCATCACGCCAATGTCGGGCCACGCATTGTGTCAGGCAGAGATAGATAGATAGAGAGAACGAGAGAGAGAGAGCGAACAAACATAACAAACAATAACAAAACGCCACGCTGACCAAAATAGTACCAACGACATGTCCCATGCACACGGTGAGGAAACGATCTGATGCAACAAAACCCTCCTCTGCGCCAACGAATGTAATACGATGTGCAAGTGTGATGTGCACGGCACGCCCAAGGTCCATGTGGACAGGGCCCGAACGATGCAAGTCTCACCGTGCGTCTGCACTGCCGAGTAGGTGCTCAAGTTCGTGAGCCATAACACCCCACCCACATGGGCATTCCCAGCCCCTGATGGTTGCATGTGCTTGGCATCTCCCGATCGGCAACCACACTCGTAGCCCGTACTCCTCTTTCTGTCCCCTCCTGTTTCCACCCTGCGGGACGGACTAGGAAGATGAGCGGAAGCATGCAGATAACACAGGTCAAAGCTCAGGCGGCAACATTGAGCTCCGATTGCGACCGTAGCTCGAGCACGAACCAAAGCGTGATATGCTGCGTTCAAGAGGCACCAGCTCTGTGCAGCTTTGCACTGAAGGCGAACAAAACGAGATTGGCCCTCCGCCCACACCAACATGATATGCGATCATTGCTGGAGGCGCAAGCAACACCCACGGATGCACGTGGAGAAGAGGGACAACCAACCTAAGAATACAGCCCCAAGACGGGTAATGCTCCCATGCCCGCTGGAAACGAAGGCATGTGCTATTGCTTATCACTCCCGCGCACCATGCTTTCGCGAAAACTCCAACGAATCGTCCCGGCGGTACATGGTACCTTTGCGGCCGCTTCCTCTAAGATGCTCAGCCATCGCCAACATGACGATAATACCATGAGCAAACTTCAAGATAGCATATGGCATCGTACCAACCTTCTTAAATACGAAAGACATTCCTTCATGCGCTCCAGAAATACGGACGCGGAGACGGAGGGGCTGGAAGCCGAGGAAAGACGGGAGGTGCGAACGGGGAGCTCCGAAGTAAGCACTGTGACGAAGCACCGCCCTTAACGCTGGCCGCAACAGATGTTCACACCTGCCCCGTCTGTTTCATTTAGATTCGACACCGTGCCGCGAGGTAGATGGAGTGTCCTCAGGTCCCGTCGAGTTTTCTGTGATGGATTTTGTCAATACTTTTCGGGGGGGGCCTGACCTCCGAGGCCCTTGGGTTCTGACGATGTCAGGGCGCTCCTGGGTGCTCCAAGGCTTGGTCGCGCGACTTTTACGGGGGCCTCGGTGTCCCGAGGTGGCCACAAAGGGCCACCCTGGAGCTCTTCTTGGGGCCCTCGTGGGCCGTCATCGAAACCGCCTGGTGGGGGCGGCCCAAGGCGACAGAGTAATTGAACAGCCAAAAGTGTGCCACACTTCGACTCACGTTTCGTTCTCGCCCACGGGCCCGCCCGGGCCCACTTCGTGCCCGCTCTATATTATCCAAAGTGTTCGCCCGGTGGCCGCCCGTTCTCGCCTCGAGCCATCTAGTCGCGCCGTTGTCAACTTATTTTCTTCTCATGGTATAAGCCCCGCGGGGCGAACGAAAGGCCTCACGAGAAGGCCCAATGGAAAAGATGGGGGCCTGCCAAAATCAGGCACGCGCGAAAATCTCACATGTATGTTTGTGGCGTGTAATGCCTTCCGGGCGAAGGCGGTCTCGGAAGTCTCCTGGAAGCGCCCAAGGGGTCCTCAAGAGAGCCCCAAGGCGACCTCAGGTGGAGCTCTACAAGTTCCAGGACGGCGACCAAGATCGTCCCCGGAAAGCCCCGAGATGCCCAAAAGGGCCCCAACAAGCCAAGAAACCAGCCGAAGGAAATCAGTGAAAGACCCCAGAAAGCCGAGGAGGGCCCCCAAAGTTGCCCCAATCTGCCCAACAGACCCCAAGAGGGGCACGAGACACAAGAAGGCCCAGAAGGGCCCCCAAGACGCTCTAAGATGGCCCCGAGACCCCGCAAGGGAGTCCCCCCAAGATGCTTCGCAGACCCCAACTTGCTCCAAAAGGACTCCCAAGTGAAGGAAGAATATGGGATGATGGGGGAGAGGCCCTAATCTGACACCACCTTTTATCTCCCCCGATGCTGAAAAAGGCTATGGGTGACAGTGAAACGTTATGGCTGCTACCTGCTACGTTATCCCACCCATCCCCTGCCCAGGCCTACACTACAGCTTAGCACTGATACAGGGGAAGGGGTCGTAGCTACAAATGCCCGCCTCTACGGCATCATATTCCTACACGCCTCCTGAGGATAGGGAATCATGCCGCGAGCTGTCCAAGCCCCATACATAGGGCTGGAACCGAACCGGATCCCGGCTGCGAGGCCCATGGGCTGCCGTAGCCGCTCAAGCCTTAGATGATGTAGCCCAAGGATGCCTGGCCAGAGAGGTGCCAGCGTGATTCTCGGACGTGTGCTTCCTGCCCAGGGTGATCTTGCCGCTGGAGGTCAGATCTTGGACCCACTGGAAAATGGCGTCGATGTGCTTGGCCTTGCCCAGGCCTCGGCGTGAACCGATAGCGGCTCCGGCCGTGGCGCCCATCCACACGTGGAGGTTCAAGAGTATGCCAAGGTCCTTTGCCGTGCTCTGGTCTCCGAGCCCCTCGGAGCCACCAGTGACGAGGTCGCAGCGCGCGGCCTCGCCAGAACTCAGCGCCATGACGGCCTGGCCGCGGCACGCGGAGTGCAGCTGGTTCTGGCCAAGCACCACGATCATTCCTGAGGTTGATTTCCGCGTGCGGATGCAGGTGGCATCGTCAGTGTCGCTGCGCGCGTCAAATCGTAAAAGCTTGCCCTGATAAGCCCAACGCTGGCAAACGCGAGGGCATAACGAAGATAACGTACAAAACGCTTCAACATGATCAAATGTCTCCGTAGGCTTGCTCATTCCTTTGGCAAGCCCCCTTACGGCGCGTTGAAGATCCGCGGGGTCTCGGGCGAGATAACCAGCTCTCACCGCATGGCTACGATGTAACTGTGAACCCGCCTCTCCTAGATCGACAATTGTCCTCCTCAAGAGCGTCGGCATTCTCCTTCGAGAGCGGCGTCGTCGCGGCGCGCCCCGCGACGCCAACGTCACGAGCTCCGAAATCGACGCGTCGAGGATCTGGTTCCCAGGCGATGCCTTGTCTGTCCCAGGTGATTCAGCGATTCAGGTGCCCCATCTCCTGCACGGTGCCCGGGGCGCCAGGCGGTCCGAGAACGCCCCGTACTTCGACCAGCCACCGCTTAGCCAGCTCTCCGTGCAACCGCTGGACGGCCAAGAGCGCCCCCAACGACGCGAAATCCTCACCATGAACGCTCGCGCGGAGATGGCGCTGCTGACGCAGATAGCGACAAGGCGAAGCACGGCCCTGGACAAAGCCAAGCTCCTCCACGAGAACACTCCTGATGGTAAACTCCCAATTAGCGTTTGTATCACGCGCGCCGCGCATGCTCCTCAGAAGCCTGGCGACGACATCGCTGCCATGCAACTTTTGCAGTTCGGGTGGAAGCTCCACGTGAACTTCTCGCCGTGCCAATGCAAACGACAACAAGTGCGTCATCGTGAACGCTGAGGTCGCCGCGGAGGTCTGGGAAAGACAGGGTCACAGCATGCATGAGGAGAAATTTGCAGCCCTGCAGCGGCGGCATGGCAGCGAAATGCTCGGCCACCAGACTGCTGCGGCAACCCTTTTTGATTTCTTTCCCCGCGGAACGCGAGCGATAATACGGTCGATCATCGCCGCTCTCAGCCACGTCCACTCAGCGTCCCTTGAGAACGACTTTACCCTCGCATCGAGCTGGTCGCGGCACGATGTCCCAAACCTTCATGTTCTCAACAAGCGGGATCTCGGAAGCCTCCTGGACATTGGCGGGGTCGAGGGACTGGCCAGAGACGTATTCATAGAAGAGCTCCCGACAATAATCGCGATCCCAGGCGTCGGGGGCTCCGTCGGGGCCCCAGGGCTCAGGCCCCTCGCGAACCTGATAGGGGTTGCCTGTGTCGAGGGCGTTTTTCGCGACCGCGGAAATTGCGCATTTCCGCGCCCCCCCCCCAAGTGCCCGAGAAGCTCTCCTTCGGCATCGAGACCGCCCGGGTCCATAGAGCTTCCGCTTGGGTCACGCTGGGCATCGGGAGGCGCCCTTTCGCCAGCGCACCTGCGCAGGAGCCGAATCACGATCGGCCTGCAACGTCAAGCTCGCCGCCCCCGACTGCGGCGGCGGCGCTGCCGCTGGGGCTACCGTTGGAGCGGCGCTGTCTGCAAGGGCCTCCTTTGCAGCAGCCCGCGCTCTCCTCGCACGTAACACGTGTAGTTTTCAGGTGGCGCTCGAAACGCGCCTGGTGGGCAGGGCCTGTACACTTCAACAAGATTTTATCGATGTGCTGCCTGCGCTGCTGCGTATGCTGCGCACCCGCGCTCCAGACGCCAAGTCGAGTCGCGTCGCGCGCGGGCCATCTGGCTGTGCATCTACTTCGCGGGTCCTGCAGATGACTCTTGGTGATGTAAAGGCGCCGTTGCTCAGCCTCTCTGTTGGCGGCCACTGCAGGCCCGGTTGGTACGTCTGGCAACTCTGGCGCCAGTTGCCTTCGGGTTCGTTCGGCGGCCACGGCGCCTCTCTGATGGACATGGGCAGGGCGCTGCCCCAAGCCTCGCTCCGCGGCTTCCACCGGGCGAACTGCGCGGCAAAAACGTTTTCAGGAATTCCAACGAGTCTGTCTGACGTCGTTTGCCTGACTCCAGGATGGGCCCCGGGACCCCCTCGACCCTCTCATTCACGCCGCGCGTGCGCCTTGAACTCCACGCATTCCCCAGACAGGGGCAATTGGGCTCTCCAGCGCCTGCCCCCGAGGCGGAAATAGGGCGCGAGTCCATCGGGCCCCTTCGCAAACAATGTGATCAACGCGCCGACGTACTCGATGGGCCAAGCAAGAACTGGATGCTTCTGTGGAAGCTGGGGGCCCGCGTTGTCCTCGAGCTGATCTTTGAGGGCCAGGGCCAACACGTGCGCTTGCTCCGCCGTCGCCTCGGCCCCGCCATCCGACGTCTCACGGGGCTCTTTGGGCGCCGCCTCAGGGATGCCCCCCCCGCCCGCGCGATCTTGGCGGCGTGGGCGACGGCCGCGATAGCAGGCGCCTGGTCAGACTTGCCGATCACTCGCAGGCAACCCGTCATCCAGCCACTGCTTCAAACGGTTGGAACCGCGAAGGTGGTCTTCCACGCCCTTGCAGGGCACGAGGCTCGACCGCGCTGTTTCGCTCTGGCCTCTTCGGCCGCGGCGAACAGGCAGTTCGTTGGCAGGCGAATCCCTGTCGCCCAAAAACCCGCAATCGATCTCGATGGCGGGGGCCTGCCCCCGGCCGTGGTCCGCGCGATAATAGCCGGCCGACTGGCCGCCACCTCGGGCGCGGCGTCGGCGCCGAGACCGAAAAGGCAAGCGCGAAGCGTCGCGTTGGTCAATCTCGGCTTGCGATGCCTTTGCGGGGGCATTGGGCTGCTCAGCCTCGGCCTCCTCTTCTGGGTCGCAAGGTTCGCACGCCAGGCCCTCGGACTCCGGCGCGGGCTGCAACGGAGCCTCGTCGACCTCTCGGGGGCCAGGCAGGCTGGCGGCGGGCGCCGAAACGGCGCTCCGCCAATCTCGGTTCTGACAAGCGGCAGCCGATGCGGCGCCCTGCCCCGCGCCAGTCTCTGGTCTTGCGCCGTCAGAGGCTGCCCCGTGAAAGGGTCGGTCTCCAGCCGATCCCCCCACTGAGCTGCAGTCATCTTCGCGGGTGGTTTCACCATGAACCACACTGGAGTGACGAAAATGTCGTTGCGCTGGTAGATCATGATCCGGCTGCCAGTCTTCCTGTTCTCCATACACAAGCTACCGCGCCCCTCGGCGTCGAAAACAACATTGCAGGATCTGATCAGCTCGCTGACGGCGAACAGGGACTTGCGCAGCGGGCGAAGCACCTTTAGAGTCACAGAGCGTTGGGAGTCGTCCTGGAACCACGCAAACGGCATGCGAGTGCCGAGCACCTCCGCCGGAGTTCTGGCAGCGCTCGTGTAGGCGGTAGCCCCAGTGCTCTCGAGCAGCGGCCAGCTGGCTGCCTTGTCCTCGGGCATGCAGCTGGTGGCCGCGCGCGAGTCGACTCCGACGTCGACGCGCTCCCATTCGGCCTCTGCATGTCGCTGCAGGCTGAGCATCACCTCGCTGGCCTCGTCCTCCAGTGGGACTTTCAAGTCAGGGTGGCCGATCCTCTGCGGCGGCTGGCTCTCGGGCTGCCTCCGCGGCGGCTGCGACGAGCCGCGGCTTGGGGCCGAGGCAGACCCGCTCGCCTCCGAGCGTTCCCTGGTCCGTTTCGCCCCCCAAGCCTCCTGCGTGTTTCTCGGCGCGTTTGGCCTTGGCCTCTGGCGCGCCGCGCTTATCCCAGCGTGGCCTTTCTCGAGTGTGGGGCTGGGCAAGCCCGTAGCCCGCGTCGCCGCCCCGGCGGGGTCGCCACCCCTGCTGGCTGAGCGGCCCCCTCGCCATTGACGGCTGCAGGTCGGGGCGGTCGCCGTCAAAACGGCCTCCGCGCTGGTCGTCCTTGTCGCTGTGTTCAGCGGGCTGGTCTGCACCTCAAAAGTCGCCGCGCCAAGCGTCTTCGTGCTCGAGGTGCTCAACGGCTCGCGAGGCACCCGCGGTCTCTCGATGGATATTGGCACGGATTCTGCTCGTCAGCTTCTTCCCCCAAAGTTTGCTGCTGCGCCCGGTGGCGAGGTCAGCGCGGTAGCGCGCGCCCTCCCGGAAGCCTTGCTTCTGAGATGCCGCGCGTTGCTTCTGGAGCTGGTCCCGCGTCTCGATGGCGGTGTCGCGCTGCCGCCTGGGCTCGTCTGCTTTGGCCCGGCCCTGCTCCAAGGCTATCGCTCCGTCGAGCTTTCGGATGTCGCTGCTGAGAGCCGCCCGCGCGAAATGCCCCGTGGTGTTCAGCATTGCATAGTGGTCTGGATCCAACGCTCCATGAACAACGCGGTTCGCCTGCGCGAGCGCCCTGGGCTCAGCGGCGGGCTCCCGCGACAGGGGCGCGGGCCGAAACGGCTCCACGCCGGAGGACTGCGCTGACCCAGCGCCTCGCTCCTCTGGAGCGTTTCCCAAGGTCTCTTGCCGCTGACGCCAAGGACGTCGCGCACCCTCTCCGAGCACGAAGAGCGCGTCTACCTCGACTTCAGCGGCTGCCTGTTCTGGCCACTCCTACTCCTCGAGAGTGCACTCCCTTGCCTTTATTGCCTTTGCCCTTGCCCTTGCCTTTGCCTCCTTTATCACCCTTGGGAGAGCCATGTGATTTGGCTTTCGCCGCTCGTTTGGCAATGGCCTCGGGCTTCCTGTTCCTGAGGTTGTACCAGCAATCCCCAACAGTGCGATTCGGTGCGATCCTCTTCTGGCAGCGGGGGCACGACTCCTCGCCACGAGGCTGCTCGCGCTGGCCCTCGCGACCTTTGCCTTTAGCGTTGCGCTGACTGTCGATCTCCATTGGGGCTGCGCTTCCTGTCTCGCGGCCCGCTCTGGAATCGAAGTATGCATCTATCTCCATCTTGACGGACACGTAAATGATAAGGGGAGCAGCGTGAACTCCAGGTGGGTCGGGAGGCTCTCGGGGCACATGTCCTGAAGGCTCAGAACCTTCTGGTCGTCCTCAAGGTCCTTGCCAGTGCGGTCTCTGTACTCCCAGAGGTCGGCCTCCCACTCCAACAGGGAACGGCGCAATCCATCCAAGGATGCTTGTTTGGGGTGTGTGAGTCGTTTGAGAAGCTTTCGGTTGTGGGTTGCGTTCACGGGGTCGTACTCCTTGCACAGGCGCCTCCAAGAATCGAATCCCATGGTCGCGCATTTGATGGAATTCTTCACCAAGCTCAGAGCATCATCATCTTCGCAAAAGACAGTCAACTGCCGAGAAAATGGATTGTTGATCTCGTTCCAAGCCGGATTCTGCTGCACAGCGTCCAACACGGCATCTGGATCGACGTCCTTGTCGTGCAGCCCTTGGGCCCACTTGGGAATGTCTTCTCCGCACTCGAACCAGGAGCAAAACCATGTCTTGAAGGTGTATGACCAATCGGGCCATGCCTTCCTGACCTCCTGCTTGGTGCTGCCTCGGAGCGCCTCTGGCTTCCCAACCTTGCTGACGTCAACGACGCCATCTGAGCGCTGTCCTCTGCCGAGGGCCTCCTCTTCTAATACCCAGCCCTGCGCAGCCATGCCGTCCCGCAGCGCCTGAATCTCAGCCTGGGAATGCTGCCGGAACTGCCCGATGAACTCGTTCTGCTGGGCGACCGTCTGGCGCAGCTGCTCATTCTGCTGCGCGAGTTGTGCAATAGTCTGCTGCATTCACTGGGGGATCTCTGCTAACTTCTGCTCCATGTTGGTATTGGGCTCCTCCGTAAACCCGTCACCGTTCCGCAACCATGAAGGAAGAATATGGGATGATGGGGGAGAGACCTAAGCTGACACCTTGTATCTCCCTCGATGCTGAAAAGGATATGGATGGCAGTGCAACGTTCTAACTTTTATCTGCTACATCATCCTACCCATCCCATGCCCAGGCCTACACTACAGCTTAGCACTCATACAGGGGAAGGGGTCGTAGCTACAAGCACCCGCCTTTAAGGCATAATATTCCTACACCAAGAAGTCCCAATATGGTGCAGGCGGGCCCACCGAGGCCCTCCAGTAAAAGCAGCAGCAGTTGCTGCAGCAACAGCAGCATGATCACAAGCAGCAGAGCCAATGGTGTAGCACTGGCAAATCATAACCCAAACGCAATCTAAGAACTCCTTCCTCGAACATCACACCAGCCACCTGTCGCCGTACTGCCGCGAAGCGAAATGCGAAATGGAACAATCAATCCGAATTGGAACGACTTCACGCGAGAAATGCTACACCACTCTGCAAGCAACAACTCGCAAGCACGGCCCAAGAGCCAGAGAGGTGCAAACCATCTGATTTTCGAGAAGCGAAGCGCCAATCCTGCAATCTACAGGGTTGAACCTTGAAGGTAAGAATCCGAGGGTCCTCGAGGGATCCAATGATCCGGGGCGGGCTCCCCAGGGCAATTCAGCGCGCATGCCATTGGTAGCTCAAAACCAATTGAGCCCAGGAGCCCCCCAGCCCCTTCCTCTCTCTCCCCTCTGATCCTCCTCGTAGCTCGCTTAACCTATGCCTAAGGCCGCAACCGATGGCACAACCCGTGGATGATTCAATCTACGGCGCATACCATGGGCGGTGACAGCATGGCTCACTGCTTGGGTGGCGGAACCCCTGACAGGTTTGCGGGTCTTCGCAACGATTCATGATCGCCGTTTGGGCTGGCGATGGGACCATCGAACTGAGCCTCAGGGTGCTGAGGGGGAACGATAAGTGAGGACCAGTTCAGGAGGAAACATCGACTTGGAATCGCATCGCCGAGAGATCGGCGATAGGCCCTCGATTGCGAAACCGCACGTTCTTAGGCTGGGTGGGCTATCAGGCTCATCTCGGCGATGACTGGGCAATTGGACGTCGATACATATCCCCCTGAGCCTATCCCCCCCAGTCGTTGCTCCGAGCGTGTCTGTCCCCAAGCCCACGCCCACAGAATCGCGCGGGAAGAACCAGTGCGAGTGCAAGACTCGGCACGACACGCCCCCCGCAGCGACGAGAACAAGGCCCGCACCGTCGTCGTGCATCATCTCCGCCAGGATGCCTACCTTCGTCACGCCGCTCAGCCGGCAGAGATCGTAGGTGGACTCGGTGTGCCCTTGGGGGGTCGAGACCTCGATTTGATCAGGACTCCCAATCCCCCAGCCTTCGCAACTTCGACAGACCAGCGCCAGCATCCACCATATATACCTGAGACCACCGCGCGCGTTCCTCAGACGACATGGCGTGCCATGCGAATGCCGCAACACAAGCATTGTCGTCGACAACCCTGGCGAGTTCCTTGTGCGCCCCCTGTTCCCTTTGTCCCGTTTCCTCTCCTCCTCTTTCCTGCCTCCCTCCGCTTCTCTTTGCCTTCCTCTCCCGCCCCCTCCCCTTCCGAGACGCTAGTTGTACACTTACACCAATCCTGACCAAGCGAGTTCTGCGCACAGGATCGGTGCACGCGCCGATCCTGGACCCATGATGGGCCTGAACGGTATCGGTGTGGGCGTATGCGGCAGGTTTGTCGTGACGTCTTTGGCTCTGGTGTTTAACGCCGCGTGGTTCGTTCAACCACGAGCGATCGCGGCTTCCAGATAGCGCATATCATTAAATATCAGCCGATGCCGAGCCACTGGCGGCGTTCCACCTTGAACGCCCATGCTGGGGTCGCCACCGCGTCGGAACGATATAAACCTACAAAAGTCGGCGTCCTCGAGACCGTTGCTTTATTATTGCGGATAACGGTCGTTGCCCCGGAGGGGTTCAGGCCCCGGGCAACGGCAAGGCTTGGGCGGGGTAGGGTTCGTTGGGGCGGGGGCGCGCTGCGATCGTCATAGTGCACGTCCGAGTAGCTCTCCACGCCTGCGAGCACAACAGCGGCTGGTCCAATCACGCGCGCAGGGCCTGAGCGCACTGGCAAAGCACATGCGAGCACCGCAATGGCTTGCGAGCGACCCACGTGCGACTGCGACAACCAATTGCGCCTGTTCGTCGTCGTCGTCGTCGTCAGCGTCGGAGTCGCCGTCAGAGTCGTCGTCGTCGGAGTCGCCAGTGTCGTCGTCGAAATCGTCGTCGTTGGAATCGCCTATGTCGTCGTCAGCGTCGAAGTCGTCGTCGGGGTCGTCGTCGAAGTCGTCGTCATCAGCGTATTCGTCGAAGTCGTCGTCATTCAAATCGTCGTTGTCGTGCCATCATCGTCTTCCTCCTCCATATCTTCCTGGACTTCCTCCTCCCTCTCGTTCTCCATCTTTTCCTGTCCATGCTCCTCCTCCCCCTCCTCCTCCTCCTCCTCCTCCTCCTCCTCCTCCTCATATTCCTCCTCCTCCTCCCACTCCTCTTCCTCGCCATCGCCATCGTCATTTTCATCACCATCATGCTCGCGCTGTTCTCGTTTTTCTCTGCTAGGAAAGGCGCCCTCGCCATGGCCCCGGCGTCCTCGCCAGGATCGTGCACCAGCGCGTCCCGACGCTGGCTCGCTGGCGCCGTCGATCTCCGCGAGCTGGTGCTGGGCGAGCTGGAGCACGGACTCGACGACGTCAGGCTGGGCGTCCTCGAGCCGGCCGATCTCGACGCCCATCTCCTCGAGCTGGCTGTTCTGGACCTGGCCGCTCTCAAACCGGCGGTTCTCGACCCGGCGCCCCTCGAGCAGCTCGGAGCGCGCGTTCCCGAATAGCTCGGGGTCGCTGTTCCCGAGCTGCTCGGCGGGCGGCTTGTCCTGGAGTTCGCCGCGCTCGGCCTTGTCCTCGGGCTCGCCGCCCTCGACGGAGACCTGGGCTTGGGCGCCCTCGAAGAGGATCTGGGCCTGGGCGTCCTCGGGCTTGCCCTCGGGCTCGCTGTTCTTGACCTCGCTCTCCTCGCGCTCGTTGCCGCAGTCCTCTCCAACCTGGCTGTGCTCGACGGCCTGGCTGTCCTCGGCGGCGGCCTGGGCCCGGGTGCCCTCGTCGCCCAGGCCTCGGCCCCCCCCGCGTTCTCTCTTTCCTTCTCGATTTTGATCTCGACCGGAGTCGCCCCGGCGCGACCCCCGGCGTGGCCGGGCGAACAGCGGCTTGGACTTAGTGGATCGGGACTCGAATGCTGATTCACTGGAACCCAACATGTCACGTTATTTTTGTGGTTGTTGTTGTTGTTGTTGTTGCTGTTGCGAGTGTTGCTGCTGCTGTTGCTGCAGCGGGCTGCTGCAATTGCCGCGTGCTTCCCGCGGGGCGACCATTGGATTCCGGGAGGAACCCGCGTTTATATACGCGCATATAAAATGTATTTACACACATCTTTATATATATAGCACTCTTTCCTCGCGCCATGGCCACCCCACTGAGAGGGCAATATGTGCGCGAGCGGGAAGGCTTCCCACGGCTGGAGCCGAGCTACGAGCGCACCAAGACAGGGGAATGCATTCGAACACTCTGTCAACTCCCACTGTCGAGTCGAAGCAAAGGGCGAATAAAAAAGAGCAGCGGAAAGCGTCAGCTCACAATAACAGGGAGGGAACTTGAGCGAAGACAGCTGCGGCACAACATGATGCGGCCAATTCTGCGAATCTGAGGCTCCGAGATCAATGTACAAGTACCGTCAAATCTCTCGCACTTTTTCCTCGCGCCATGGCCACCCCTCTGAGAGGGCAATCTGCGTGCGAGCGGGAAGGCTACCCGCAGCTGGAGCCGAGCTACGAGCGCACCAAGACAGGGGAATGCATTCGAACACTCTGTCAACTCCAAGCTGGGACCATACCAAATTCTAAACATGGCCCGCCGCTCGATCAAGAAACCTCCTGCTACAATTTACTTCGCTAGCAATCAGTGAGGCGCGAAACTGACTGACCAAGCGCTTGCACAGCGAGCGCGGGTAGGGCTCTGCCGTTTTGGTGAGCCACTTCCCATCAGGCCCCTTGCCATGCAGCGCCACATGCTTCTGGCCAGTGCGATCGCACTTGCGTTGGTTCTGAGCACTGTGCAGTCGCGCGGCAGGGAGAAGATCAATATGCACATGCAGAAGCCGAGTCCTCTTTCGCCACGGCATTCCGTCCATGCACAAGTCCGCGGCGGCTTCTCTGACTCTCCTGCGAGCCCTGATCGATGAAATGAAGGGCGTAAGCCACAGGCGAGACGAGGCTGGGTTCTCAAGTACTGCTGGCACGCCACGCGACAGGCAACAGGCAACAACTTTTGCTGGAAAACGGCACAGCTCATTTGCCACGTCTACCTTCGCTTGGTCGGCCTCTGAGAGCCCTGGGAGACCCAGAGGTAGGTCATCCGACCTCAACCGCGGCGGCCCGGCGCCAGAGTCGCGCGCCCGTGAGCAGGTCGCGCAAGGCGTCCCAAGCCACACCGCACGGCAGCAGCCTGAGCGGATCCAGCCCAGGATGCGACGCTGGGCGGAACGGCTGCTGAGGTCATGGGAGCAGTGGTGGCTGGTGTCCATCTCAAAGATCGGCAGGCCCCACGGCGGCCGCTGCGTCCAGTAGTGGCTGAACCTCCCGCTCCCCGAGAAGATCTCCAGTGCAAAGCCGTCTCTACCCGCCAAAGCGGGATGTCCGCGAGAGGCACACGCCAAGCGCGCGCTCGGCCTCCAGCGCGGCGTTCAGCTCCTCGGGCGTCAGCGACCTCAGCACGCGGCTCTCGCGCCCGATCTCCCTGCACCGCTTGACCGACTGCAGGCTGTGCCGCCCGCCTCGGCGCTGGTGGCTCTGGGTGCTGCGGAACTCGGTCGGTGCCTCGTGCGACGCCATGCCGTGCCTCAGCAGGTACCCTGTGGAGCCGACGAGGCCGGCGAACAGTCGCCTTGCGGCGGGCTGCGCAGCCCCCAGCCGCTGAGCAGGGCGCGCCCGGAAGAATGACCTTCCCTCCCCTGACATCCTCCAGTCGCAATTTTTTCAAGACGCCAGTTCTTGTTGTGTTCTCGTTTCAAGACGTTGCGAGAAAAACAAGACAAAGGCATGTAGTGCGTTTTTGAGCAAGTTGGCGTTGTCGTGTTTTTGGGTTTCATGGTGCGTTTGCATTGTTTTCTGTCATAAAACGATCGTTGACAGGGCCCACGGGCCAGTGCCAGCTTGGGCCGACCAAAATTGAACCAAAATATGATGATGATGATGATGATGATGAAGCGCCTTGAAAGGTCGGTTCTCCCAAAACACAAACCTGAGAAGCCACCAATACGCCAAATGCGTACGGTAGAGAAAGAGGGAAGCGGGAGGAGAGGCGGGAGCGGGATGAAGCAGAAGAAAGGTGAAGCCCAGCCCAGGATTGAAACCCATGATACTGAAAGAAATCATGAATGACAGACTGTCCGATGTCCCAAATGAATCCCACCACAAGGTCTCTCCTGCTTTGAATGAAGATGAGAGAAATGAGAAACGTAATGCAAGATAATGGAGTATGCCCAAATTGATCAACAATATCTTGAGTGACTTGAGTAACTCTTTGAAGCCAATCTTGAGGGCATATGGTCCCAAGGTCTGAAGTAAGTAAGAAGTGAAGAAATCTTCCATTAAGTCCCATGAAACCCATTGAACATAAGTAGCAACCAAGACGGATATATGTACTGAAAGAGAGTCTGAAATAAAAACTGAATGTCCCAAGCACGCAATGAACCCAGAAGATACGGAGGCATACAAAATGGATTGTCAAAGCCGAGTGAGAACCCAACCGTGAGAACCCACCCCAGGCATATCAAGACATATGGAGTAAGGTTGAATTCAAACAAGTATGGAGGACGCAAGATGGCTGGGAATGTTTATAACCTTTTGTATTTTGCCAACCAACAACGTTGAAGAACATGCAGGAGAGATTGAGGGAGACTGAGAGTCCTCCAAAAGCCGCAGGCCCATGCACCGCAGACACCAGGAGGTTCAGTCTGTCGGAGTCCCAGGAATGGCCTTCACGGGTACTTCCAACGCCACTTTTCCACAAAGAAGTCTCCGTCCCACCAGTAGTCAGACAGGTACCATACAACTGGGTGAGGCCAGCCCGATTCGGGGTCGAACCACGTGTCATAGTACTCCGTATACCAGACTTTGGTATAGACTTTTTCCTCTTCACAGTAGTTCCACATTCCTCCTGAGCCGTGTGTCCACTTGAGACGCTTCTTGGCGGCGAGCTTGACTGGAAGGCTGCGTTTGGCCATCCCCTGGAATTGGATATGGATGTTTCCCAGCCGTCTCGGACAAGAGTTCCCGTCAGGATTTGAGGCGAAACGGCTACTGACCAGCAGCCAGTTCTTTCCAAGGAACTCTCCGAACCCTTTCGTCGGGACCCCGAACGTTGACATACAGTCCATTAAAGCCGCTGTCCCGACAAGCTTTGAAAAGCGGGATTTTGCACCAGTCATATGTGAAATGAGGACCACCAAGGTCCGATGGTATAAGAAACCGAGCCGGCAACTTGACCACCCTTTGGAATAGCAGCGTAGAGCAGTATGAGAGTGCCTCAAGATCTTGTTTAGACAGGAAGCAGACTTTGCGTTTAGACCTGCAAAGCTTCCCCTGAAAGATAACGTGAGGGTCCGACGCCTTGGGAAGTAGCACACCGAAAGCTCGAGCCCGAGACTGCAGGAGCCGACAGGAGGCAAGGGAAGGGGAGGGGCCCATCCCCCCAAACCCCAAGAGAGAAAAACAGACTCGAGTCCCAAAACACAGAGGCATCCTGAGGAAGGAGGGATTGTTGCGAAGCCACGGTGTCCCTAAGATCGCATGGACCAGGCGGGTCCCAGATAGAATCGCACAAGTGACATCTCCTGGTGTCAGCCAATCCCCTAGGTGGGAGGCAAGGAGGAGAGAGGAGAACACAAAGAGGTCTCGATACAGACCCAAATGCAAATTCCGTGGGGCGTCAAATACCCCCGCTCCATTAGTATTGGAGCCTGTTCTCTGAGGCCGCAATTAGGTAAGATACCCAGACCTCTGAAGATTCCGTAACATTAAATTTGTGCACTTGCATTCCGTGAAACATTGCCACGGCAAACTTCCGAGTGTGGGGTGCACATGGGCCGCGAAAAAGGCGACGGTCTTTCCCGGTCCTAGCAAAAGACCCATGTTGATCAGCAAACGTCAAAATAGACCGAATGGAGCAGATGATGGGAGAAATCCCCTGAATTATGTTCCAGAACCGATCTGGGTCAACATACCCCGCTCCCAACCCTAGCTCCATCAAATCTCCAATAAGCTCTAGCCATCGAGAAGTGTCGGGTTCCCTGTTCCACCGCTCTCGGACCATCCTCTGTACATCGGTGACACGACCAGCGACTGAGCGAAGCTCCTCCATGGACTTGGACGAGGCACTGGTAGGTTGTCGTCTTTGAAGATACCTGGCCATTTGACCCCAAATATTCCACCAGACAGTGTAAATGAAATTCCCAGGATCTGACCAGCGGTTGTCGTAGAACACTGCGCCCTTGTATGACATTGTCTTGATCTGTACAAAAGACATAGAGCGTACTGCAATTCCCACGATCCCAATAAGGTCCTTGCATGCCTTACTTGAGAAAAATTCCTCAAAGAGATTCCATAGCTGCCTGAGAGGTATCTCGAATTCGCGCCCCTTCTCATACATGTGGAGTGTGACGCATTTCCGTGGGTTGTATGATCCTGAATTTACAGGAACGATCTCGGAACTTTCGATTGCCAGTGCACGTGGGCAGGCGGATGCCCACGCCTCGAAGACACAGCACTGGAGGGACTTTGAATTCCATGGCCTGACGACCCTCTGAGGGGCAAGCATGAGAGTGTGTTCCCAGATAACTTGAGAAGAGGTTGGAGCAGAACGGGCAAAGCGAATTGAACCAAAATGACTACAGAAAGCAGCCAGGACATCAGGACAACCGAAAGATGTGGATTCAAAAGATGGTGGGATAGAGAAAAGGGATGCACTTAATCAGGGATCGGACGGCAGTCATCGTCCTGGCCAGCGAAGTGAGACTAACAATCCCAGGCCAAACCCATTTGTACTGAGGTGAAGAAGCAAACTGATCGCCAAACTACCCCAAGAAGAAACTTGAAACTTCGAGGCCTTGGGCAAAGAGTGAGAAACAACCCCACTTAACCCCGTCAGCCGAATCGAGAAGAATATGATGCAGTCCC